GAGTGGGGTGGATGATAGTCCTAATTATTCACCATGAATTAGTTCCCAGAACAGAGGAGGTGGGGGAGCGATGGAGTCTAAAGCCCAGCCCCCTTTGCCTGCCCACAACCCACCACAGATTCAAGTCACACTCTCTGAGAAGTTAATCTTTTCCTGTGATCACTGTGGGAGGGTCTTCCTCCATTCTCCTACAGGGGGGCATTTTCCATCTTCCTCCACCACACTTTTAACAGGTGGGTTTTAGATTTCCTCTTAGCAGGCACCAACTCTTTTGTTCTCACTGAAAATCTATATAAAACTTCTCCCATCGTGCTATACAACACCCTTTTTTTTTTTTTTTTTAATTGAAAAGCATTTGGAAAATGAACACATACAGGAAAAACAATGAGACTCTTAGCTATCACTCTCCCCAGCAGCCAGTATTAATAGTTTAACATATTCCATTTTTCCACACATGGTTTTTAAAATACACAGATACACACACACACACACACACACACACACACACACACACACACACACACACTTCATATTAATTGAAAGTCAGAGAAGTCCTGGCTTCCATCCCTCTGCTTTCTCTCCCCATTTCTTCCCTTCCTTCTTAGTTTTTTTAAACAACATTTCATTTAACTCAGGCTGACATTGAACTAGTTAGCAGAGGATTCTGAATTTCTGATCATCTTGCAACACCTCTGGAGGGCAGCTATTACAATCACAAACCATGACACCTAGCTATGTGGTGCTTGGGCTGTGTACTGGCTGGTTTTGTGTGACCACTTGACACAAGCTAGAGTCATCAGAGGAGGGAGCCTCCATGAGATCCCGCTGTAAGGTATTTTGTCAATTAGGGATCAGTGGGGGAGGACCCAGCCGGTGGTGGGTGGTGCCATCCCTGGACTATTAGTTCTAGTACTGGGTTCTGTAAGAAAGCAGGTTGAGCAAGCTATGTGAAGCAAGCTAGTAAGCAGCTTCCCTCCATGGCCTCTGCATCAGCTTCTGCCTCCAGGTTCCTACCCTGTTTGAGTTTCTGTCCTGACTTCCTTCAGTGATGAACAGCAATGCTGAAATGTAAGCCACATAAACCCTTTCCTCCCCGATTTGCTTTTTGGGCATGGTGTTTTGTCGCAGCAATAGAAGCCCTAACTAAGACAGGCTGGGAGCCAGGCAGGGTTTCACTCAAGGCATTTCTTCCAACAGAGCACTTTCAATTCTACATGTTGCTTTCCCACTTGTGATACTTCTAGCTTCATAAGAACTATGTGGCCTGTCATTTTGTTGTTGTTTTTGAGACAAGGTCTCATTAAATAGCCCAGGAGACCTCAAATGCATAGTCCTTCAGTTTCAGCCTCCTGGATGCTAAGATTATAAGCATGTGACACCATGAACTATAATTGTTTAACAAGAAAAATGTAAATTTATAATAACAATAATAAATAATAATAATGATTATTGTTGACAAAAATCTTCTAATATAACTTTTGCTGGCTTGAAACTTACTATGTAGCCTGGCCTCAAACTTGTGGCTAGCCTCCTGTGTCTCCCCTTCAAATGTGCTGGGATTATAGGTAGGCATATATTCCCCAGACCTGGCTATATAACCTGTATTTTTTTTAAGATTTAACATAATTTTACTATTTTATGTATATAGACATTTACTGGCATGTATGTCTATGTACCCATGCATGCCTGGTACCCATGGAAGTCAGAAGACAGTATTGGTTGCCCTGGAATTGGAGTCTGGTACCCATGGAAGTCAGAAGACAGTATTGGGTGCTCTGGAACTGGAGTTTGTGATGGTTGTGAACCACCTTGTCAGTGTTGGGGATTAAACCCAGGTTCTTTGGAAAATCAGCCAGTGCTTTTTTTTTTTTTTTTTTCTGAGACAGGGTTTCTCTGTATAGTTTTGGAGCCTGTCCTAGGACTCTCTCTCTGCAGACCAGGCTGGCCTTGAACTCACAGAGATCCACCTGCCTCTGTTTTCCGCATTCTGGGATTAAAGGCGAGCCCCACTAGTGCCCTGCCTAGTCAGTGCTTTTAACTGCTGAGTCATCCCTCCAGCTCCCTACCCTATTCTCTCAAAGTTATTGCTCATTTAATTTTATTTATGGGCTCACTCTCAGGGAATTTCCAGAATTTGTCTATTGCAAATTGCAACATAATGCATATTTTTGTATGTGAATTGCACAATGTCTTTAAAAGGATCAAATTACAGAACTGTTATTAACTGGACAACATTGAAGCCCAGGCTTCTTCTGGCTGCACTGTCCTCCAAATGCTATTATGTGCCCTTCCCCTCTCCTGTATGAGAATTTTTTTTTGGGGGGGGGACCCTTCCTTAATATGTACTAATTTTATTTAAATACTACTTTATTTTTTAAATTAGAGTGATAAATACATTGACCCACAACATTTAATAACATTTACATCTGTGCCTTGGGCAGATGCCTACACAGCTCTGGGCAGAGGCTAGCTCAGCTCTTTGTGGTCATGAGAGAGTTGGTAAATATTAGGGGAAAGCATACTATTGTTAGCTTTTGGTTTTTTCTCAATCCTTAACCCACAACTCTTATTTTGGCTTCCTCATTTTTTTCCTTGTAGATTTGTTTCTGTTTTTGCTTCCATCTTATATTTGGGAGTGTTCCCTTCCTCCAAATACTTCTCCTTTTTAGGAGCATGTATTTGCCCACTTCATTTATAGCCTTCAACCCTGGAGTCCTGGTTCCCTTTTAGCATTCTCATTCAAGATATGTAAGTTATGGTTCTGGGAACACATCCAACACACACACACACACACACACACGCACGCACGCACGCACACACACACACCTGTTCTATGTGTTCCCAGGTCTCTTTCACAACACCAAAAAATAAGATGGGCTCTATGGGGCAGGGATTATGTCTATTTTACCTAGAAGACTAACCTATCATTAGTTCTCAATCAATATTTGTTGAAAAACACTAAACATCTATAAAGGTTTTCAAGCCATCAAACCCCAGACTCCATCCCTTGACTCCGGGTCTATGGCTAGATCCAAAATGTATGTGCAGGCTATTTCTCTATTGAGAAAGATGGGCTCCTTTACAGACCCAAGGCTTAGGCTTTTCCCTTGGAGCATGAAGTAGAGGTAAAGGAGTCCTTGCCCTTCACCATTGCACTTTGAGCAATGGACACTTAATGGGAATGGTACCAGCCAAACACAGGTATTTCTTTGTATTTTCTGTCCTTGTGCATTTGACCTGCATACACATATGGGGTCTTCTGTGGCTCCCTGTAAAGTAGTACTTGAAGCATCAAGCAAGAGCAGAGTGTGTTGAAATAGTCCGTGCAAGTTAACACAGTACCTGGCACATAGCTGGTGATTCCATTAATATATTAATACATCATTTTGGACAGTTAAATCTGCTTGTGCTGGACATGTCTGTCTGTCCTGGCAAGCAGTTTCCTGGTATAGTTCTGATCTCAAATTCTGGAAGAGGAGGGTACTTGAGAGATCCTGTCCTGGGGTCTTAATTAAAATATACTTACATGTCAAGGCATTTCTAGGCCTTTTTCTTAAGTCTAACTGACAGATTTACAGTCACATTTGCAGAAAGGAATACAGACTCTGGGCTTGAGGAGAGTTATCAGCAGTGGGAAAATGAACCCCAGAGCCCAAAGCAGCATACAAATAGCTTATTCTGGGAGGAAGTGTTAGTTGCTCTTCATGTTTTGGGCCCAGAATCCTGACAGAAGCAACTCATGAAGACAGGGGATTATTTTCGCTTTGACTTCCTGAGGTTGAAATACATTATCAGAAAGCATGATGGCTGAAGGGGCTTGATCTCTGTTGAAGGGAGTTTGCAATGGCTGCTTCTTTGCATCATGGTGGGCAGGACTCTGCCTGAGGTAGAAGCAGAAAGCTCAGCCCAGAGTCAGAAGTGAGTATCACCTTCAAGGCATGCCTCCTGGAGACCCACCATCTCCAGGCAGGCCTTCTGTGGGTTCACCAAGAGTACAAACATGTGAGCCTGTAGAGCATATCTTAGCCTCAGCCTATAACATTGCCACCTTGGCTCACATAAGCTCATGATCCTCACACAATACAAAGTGCACTTTCTTGAGCTTCAAGAATCCCTGGCCATAACAGTCCAATATCCAATGTCTTTTATGAGATGTAAGACAAATTCTTAACTGTAAGCCCCTATTTAAAAAAAAAAACCCTACATACTTACAGTGTACAATGGCAGAGGAGAAAATTCACATTCCAAAAGGGAGGAATGGGGCACAAAGAAAGTGCAGGCAAAAACCTAGCAGGGAAGCATACGCCCTGAAGTTCCTTCCATATCTGGCACCATGGATACATGGTGACATCACGTATGCTCCAATGGATTTGGGGAGACCTGTTTCCATGGCCTTGCTGCCTAAAGCACACATGGCCTCTTTTCTTGGGTATATATTCCTTGCCTGAAGTGTTCTCAGCAGATGCTTCATGTTCCTGGAGTGTACACTGCAACTTAAGCTCTGCCTTGATGGTTTCGTGCAAGGTTACATAGCAGTTCCACTCAGAAAGACCAACCTTGATATGCATCATCTGGTGCAAGCCTCAGTGGTTCCTCGATTTGACATTCTGTCTGTCTGCCAGTTCTGCTGCTGGTCTAGGATAGAGCCATACCCCCATTGAGTCAGGGCTTCAGCAGGCTCTGAGAACCTGTGCAGGTGAATTTGGAGAAACACTTTTCCAGTCTGACATGAGGTAGGACACTCTGTGTTCAGACATCCTTCCTTCTAATGAAAACTTTCGAATGGGCTTCTCAGTTTATATGTTGGAGCTTTTGATGGATAAGGACTCACTCTCAGGGCTCCTTGTCTATTCTCGTAGAGCAGAGGCAGGGGTCACTCTTTACTGGTGCTCATCTCTTTCACTGTCACAGTTGCTTTGTGAATACCTAATTTCTCCACAACTTTAAATGCATTCATGCTGCTTATTCAAACAGCTTGTTTTCCACGTCTCCCTGTTCCCTTTCTTTGCTCTGATTCCTTATTATAAATATGAATAAAAACAGGGAGTATGGCTGTGTCACAGCCTAGATGTTGTGCTGTCTTGAAAATTTCTCCACTAAATGGAATATGAATGGTCTCTACCACAACCCCCCCAAAGTCATTATTCTCTGAAACTTCTCAAGCCTGGCCTTCACCATCTGTACGCAAATATGTGGATTTAGTGGGGAGGCATTTGCATTTGATCTGTGATAGAAGTTTCCATTTTTTCTGGGAATAGTGAATTCTTTGCATTTCTCTGGAGTGAGAAGAGAGAATACTGCTGTCTAGATAATATTTTCAAAGCTTAATGGCCTTCACATATGTGGCACTGCAGACAAGGAGCTGGGACTCTTTACCTGTGGGCAGACATGGCAAGAATGTTGGATGTGAGCAGAGCTCTGGATCTCTCATAGAAGACTCGTCATCCCAGACACTTTTTCTGAAGGCACCCAACCCATAGTTCCTTCATTTACAGTCTTGTGTACTTTTATCTTAGAGGGATTATTCTTGAAGGAAATATATTTTCTCCATGTTTAACAAACTGAACAGTCTTAAAATAATTTAATAAATGTCTCTGTCACTAAGAAAATCATCTTCAGCATCCACTGTGGAATAACCCTTCTATACACTGTGAATATGTATTACTTTCATTGGTTGATAAAGGACTGACTGGCCTATAGCTGGGCAGGAAGATATTGAGTGGGAGAGCCAGACTAGGAGGATGCTGGGAAGGATGGCAGAGTCTGGAGTCACTAGCAGACACAGAGAGAAGAAAGATGGGCATGCCATACTTTAAAAAAAAAAAAAAAAGCTACATGACAAAGCATAGATAAGAAATATGAGTTAATTTAAAATGTGAGAGTTAACTAGTAACAAACCTGAGCTATTATTGGCCGAGCATTTGTAATTAATATTAAGTCTGTGACGGTTATTTGGGAACTGGCACAAGGGAAAGAAACATCCACCAGCAAGCATCTTTATCTTTTCAATTGTTTTGGAGAAGGGAAAACAGACAAGAAGGTACCTCTGTTTCTGCAAAGCACAAGTGGTGAAGGGACAATCCGTATATCTTAGCACATTTGTGGTTTGGCAGGAAGGAGAGGATGCAAAGCAGATGTAATGTAGCCAGAGCAAAAAGTCTCCCTTCTCCAGTTACCTGCTGCTCAGGAACAGCAGGAGTCTCTACCCACGAGCCCTGTAGGTAGCCCTTCCCTTCATTCATGACCAGACAGAATCCTCCTAATTTTCTTTATCAATCCAATCTAGAATCCCCCTCCCTCTCTGTTTGTCTCTGGCCACCAATTTGAACTTCTACAACATAGTTTTCATATATTTCCTATATTTTTGGGTAACCTCAAACAAAGTCCTGAAAAACCTGTCTAGGTACAGGCTCAAAGCTAAATGGCCTTGACATGTCTGGCAGGGAGTGAGGACTCTCCACCTGAAGGCAGACATGAGGGGCTGGCCGGGGCCTGTTTTATTACCAGGGACTGAAAATCCCAATGAAATGTGAATCTGAACACAAGCCAGGAAAAGGGATCGACAGTTAAGATTAGAGTCAGCCTTGAGGGTTCTTACCGCTTTGGGGATCTGCACAGTGGAATAAAGTGTATTTGCTGCATCATCTTCCAGACTCCTTTCCTATTAATAAACAATCACAAGTGTCACCTAACTTCTGAGTCACATACACAAGATCAGGAAGACATACAATCCAGAGAAAGCAAAGTATATGCAAGAGAACATAGGAAGAAGAAAAAGAAGGTTCTGGAATAGGCATAGAAGTTCTCTTGTTAGTAACTGCTATAGTAATCGGTATTTTTTAAATATATAAAGTAAGCCATTGCCCTTTTATTCATTTTCTTTATTCCATTATTTTCTGTATTATGTTTCAATAAATTACAAAATATGTTGAGATATATCTCATAAATTATGAGTCTCCTAAGGTGGCTAAAGGCTAATATGAAATTATAGCGTCAGTGTTGTAAACTGACTTATCCAGTAGTTCAAGAGCCCTTGGAGAAACAGTGAGGATGCCCAATGAATTGAAATAAAGCAATACCAAGAACAAAGACTTATGATTAGAGAAAAACATCCTGGGTTTAAGTTTATTTTCTGACCATGCAGGGCAGCCTTGCAGTTTCTTTGGGTGTAACCTGAGCAAGAGAAAGAGAGGATGACGAAGTGATAAATTTTTGACTTAGTAAGTTGAGTAGGCTACAAAGCAGGCCAGTTTCCAACCTGCTGGGAGGAAGTGAAGACTGCCATGGTAAACCGTAAAAAGGAAAAGGTGATTCATGTAACTGCTCACATGAGTGTTCCAGGTGAGGGCAGAACCAAGTGGTCTAAAGCTCACGACTTCTGCACAGACAAGAGTAAGGCGTGGGGGAGGCAGATTGACTAAAGTTAAAGGTTATACATCTTAATTCCCTTTCTGTTTTCCTTGCTGCCCAATCTTGTAGGGAGTTGTCTCAAGTGAAGTAAGGAAAGCCTTGAAGAGATGGATTGGGTCACAGAAAAAATGGAAAAGAACTCACGTTAATGTAAGAGATTGTGCCATATTCTGCATTATCTTCCAAGTGGGGACAGAAGTTGGGCTTTTCCTGGTGGTTGTCCACTTTCTCTGTGTCTCCCTTGGAGCCTGAAACCAGGTTGAGAGACTCAAAACCTGCCTCTCTTACCTCTCATCATCTCCCCTGCCCTACAAAACCTGGATGGTCTACTCAGGGGAACCAACCCACCATCCTAGTCACTCTGAAATGGAAACGTTTTCTAGGACAGGGAACTTTCAGTGTTACAATGGAGACAATCCTGGACAAATCAGGATGAATTAGCCACTCTGTCACTCCACTTCCCAATCTCCAAATCAAGGTGGCCAAACTGGGAAGCAGAGGAGGTCAGTAATGTTCCCAGAATGCCTCTGACAAAGAGAAAGATTATCTCAAAGTTTGCATTCATAGCCTACTATTGCTGCAATCCCCCCTCTACCCCCACCATGGAGAGCACTGGTAAGGAGTGGGGAGACAAACGAGGGCTTTGGGACACTGTGTGGGGTACACTTTGGAGAGACAGAGAAAGGCTTATACAAAAGGAATGTGTCTAGCCTGAGGTGAAAAAGAACGAGGAATCTTGATGCTGATTGAGTAGAGAAGATAGGCTGGTTGGGGGTTCTGACAGGGGTGAGGATAAGGAGGGCAGGAAGACCATTGTAGGCTGGACAGGAGCAGAATCAATAATATATGATCTGTGTCATCAGAAGGGTCACACCCTTCTGAAGGAAAGACAGGATTAGACACTAGAGAGGGACCCTGTCCTCCAGAAAGAAGAAAAGTCATGCTCTCTCTAGTTTGGAGCTAAGGCATGCAGCTGCCTGTGCACTTTTTTTTGTGTATGTATACATATGTGTGTGTGTTCATATTCATGTGTGAATAGGTGTATGTGCATGCGAGTGCACGTGTGGGAAGGGTAGAGGTCAACTTTGGGTGTTGTTCCTCAGATGTTGTCTACCTTGTTTCATGAGACAGGATCTCTTGCTTTTTTTGGAACTAACTAGTTAGACTAGGATAGCTGTCGTGGCTAAGCCCCAGGGATCCACCCATTTCCACCTCCCCAGTGCTGGAATTGCAAATCATGATGCCACATCTGGATTCTTTTTTAAAATGTGGGTTCTGGGGTTTGAACTCAGATCCTCACATTTGTATGGCAATCACTTTTCTGAATGAGCTCTCTCTAGCCATTGACTTTTGACTATAAATTTGTTTGTTTGTTTGTTTTTTGTTTTTTGAGGCAGGGTTTCTCTGTATTACTTTGGAGCCTGTCCTGGAACTTGCTCTGTAGTCCAGGCTGGCCTCAAACTCATGAAGATCCACCTGTCTCTGCCTCCCAAGTGCTGGGATTAAAGGCATGTACCACCAATGCCTGGCTGACTATAAACTTCTTAAGGGAAGTGACCATGGCCTCTTATATCTTTAACACTAAATATTTCACATAAATTGATGTATTACGTGAGGAATAAAAAAATATGAAGTAGACACACACACACACACACACACACACACACACACACACACACACTTTACCTTTCCTTCTCTCTGTCCGAATAGCAAAGGGAATAGTCATCACCAGCATGACACTGAACACAATGGCCCCTGGTAGGATGTATAGGATGAAGTTGGATGACCTTAGGTCATTGGCAGAATCTTTAAAGAGAAAACAAGGAGAGGCATGAGGAATGTGGGTGTCTGGTGGAGTCACCTAGGGAAAAGGACCTAATTTCCTCCCAGCCTGCTGCTTTCCCAGAGGCCTCTCTCTAGTTGACACGGAACCTGTTTTCATAAGGAGTGGGAGCTAAAGAAGACATATTTTTCCAACCAGAGGCTCCTGGAAAGAGAAGACCATCACCTTCACAGAGATTCTGGGCAAGGATAGGGGCCGATGAACTGTGACTGATGGGATTCCTGGCCATGCAAATCAAGGTCTTGTCTTTCTCTCCTGATTTCCAAGAGATGGGGAGGATGGCACCATCATGAAACTCATTGACTCCCTGCCCTATGGCTTTCCAGCTGTAAGTCACATTGTCTCCTCCCTCTTCCATGGAGCATGTCAGTTTGGTTGTGCAGGTGCCATTCTTGTTTGCTTGCCCATCCATGGTGACTTTTGGTGTTGACAAATTCTCTGTGAAAGACATAGCACAACAGAAGAGGGAAGTTAAGACCTGAACTCAACTTTCTCTGAGTTATCCTTCTTTACCTTAGACCCGAATCTCCCTAGGACATCCAAGAAAGGTAAGGAAGCAACAGTTCAGGGAAGAATGTCTTATTCTTATCTGAGAAAGAGACTTCTTAAGTCTGCTTGGTCCTGGTTACATAGCAAGAATACTAATAGCTGCAGAAATAATCATGCAACAATAATGTAGAGACATTCACTAAGCCTGGCTGCAGGGTAAGCACTGTGCTTACTTGTATTTTAGATGTTATCTAATCTTTAGACAGAGGCTTCCTATTGCTTGTCCTGGGACTTCCTTGAACACACTTTCCTTTCTCCTTTCCAGGAGAAAATAATACCACAGTAACACTACCTTGTGCCTGCTCCTTTATGTTTAGAAGATCAGCAAATGGTTTTTGGTGAGATGGCGAGAGTCTGGCATTTGTTATCCATCCTAGATCTTGGTCCACTAAATATTTCTGTTCATATATCCTTTCCCTTGTCATCCTTTCCCCAGCTAGACTGTCTGAAGATTATCTGATTGCCTACTTCATGCAAACAATTCTTGTGTTCCATCTCTGGTTTCTCTGATACTATAGTTCAGTGCACCAGACAACTAACTCTTCTGATAGAGAGTTGAGTGGTTGTTTTGCAAGTTTAAATTTTCTAAGTGGTTTCTCTTTCCTCCTTTCCTCTCTACCTTTCTCTTTCTGTTGCCCAGGCTATCCTTTCAAACCTGAGCCCAAGCAATTCTCCTGCCGCAGCCTCTAGAGTAGCTATAACTACATGCCCAAATATATGGGTGTTTGTTCTGATTTTTGTGTCTATTTCTCAGTTGCTTAGAGTTTGTAGGGGGAGGAATGTAATTAATTTGCATCTAATGATCTTCTTAAGGTGGGCATCATTACCTTCCTTACATACATGGGAACTAAAACTTAAAGTAAATTGGCTAAGGCCATGCACATAGCAATGTGCTTCTTTGACTCTGTCTGTGTGATAGCCATTTTTTTTTTTTTGTCATTTTTGTTTTGTCTTTGAGACAGGGCTTTTCTGTGTAGCTCTGGCTGTCCTAGAACTCACTATGTAGATCAGGCTGTTCTGGAACTCAGAGATCTGCCTGCCTCTGCTCCCAAATCCTGGTACTAAAGACATATTCCACCATTGCCCAGCTGATAGCCACTTCTTAGGTTGTCCATCATCTACACTGCACAGCCTCGTATAGATTCTCAAAGTAAGTAGAGACCTTGTGGGTTAGTCTACTCTCTAATCCTTGGCGTGTGGTTACCCTAACTTAACATGAACATTTATTGTATCAGGGTGCTCATTACATCTATATGCCTGCCATCCACCATTAGAACTGAGCCTGCTTACCATAGACATACAGCTTATACTCCTGGGTGAAGGGAGACTGAAATGATGTCCTGTGGATCTCTGCACGGTAGACACCTGAGTCATTCTTCTTCAACTGGCTGAGTTTCAGGGAACTTCCATCTGGGAAGATTATTCTTTCTTTGTTATGATTTTGGAGCACTATGACATTGTCCTTAGCTATGATGGCAATAGAGAATGTATTGAATGTCCATACAACAGTGTGAAACTCTGTGAAATTCAGAGTGAAGGTCACAGATCCGCCAAGGGCACCAACCACCTCCTTCAGAGTTCCAGAAGTTGTTGTCACTGCAGACACAGAAAACCATAATGTATGCTCTTGCCACAGATTATCACATCCTTTAGGTCCTTGGAAGACCCTGAGAAATATCTCCAAGTTCAATACAAGTAGAACTCCACCCACACAAAAGCATTGAGATTAGAACCTTCTGTCTGCAAAGTCACCTGCTGCCACCACACCACATTCTCAGAGACTCCCAGCTGAGTAGACCAAGCTCTATGGCAAAATTGAAAGCCCAGCTCCATCCTCAACAGGTTTCTGCATGGGAACAACTAAGGAAGTTTCTATCTGGGTCTCTTAGGAAAGCCAGATTACTCCAGAGATAATTCAACATGAAGCTGATGAGCTAGGCTACCCAAAGCAGGATCAGTGGTTCACCAGTATAAATCAGGGCATCGGGAAGGAGAGTTGTGTGTTTGTAGTGACAGCAATAGCTGACATGTTTAAGGATGACCTTTCTTCCTAGTTTATGATATATTAGTAAACTCAAAGTCATTCCCACAAAAAGTTTTTATCCACTTGCATAACATGTTTGTGTTGAAAGAAGGCAAAAGGGGTGAGTCTTAGTGTTGGGGAGCACTGCTTGTGATGCTTACTTCATATGCTAGCAAGCACAGTAGGGTTTTCATTCCACAAGAGTTCTGTGCATTTGTTTGACACAGTCCTTGCTCACCCTGTAGAGCATGACTCTGAAGCAGTCATCACTGGTAATATGAGTCCATATGAAAGGACTCTTGGTGGAACTTCCAGAAGTGACCAACTAAGAATTTCCTGTGATAGTGACTGGGTAATTGTCTGTAAAAATCTAAGGGACAAAAGCTGGGGCTAGAAAGGGACACTGAGGCACTTTGAGTTGGAACCAAAAATTAAAGCATGTACTATTAACTTCTTTAGCTGTTAGAAGGGGAACTTTTATACTTTGGTCACACAGAGCAGGATCTATTCCCTCAGGTACAGGTCTGGGGGACCTTCAAAAGCAGTGGCTTCTCTTTCTGGAAAAAAAATTCCCATTTTCAATCAGTGCACATATACTTTGGATCCCTCCAATCCTGTCAAATTACTAGTTAAATAATGTGAGTTTTCAAAAAGCCCCTCCTCCCATAATAAAGGCTACAATGGGTTTAGACTGTTTTCACTTTAATTATCTGAAAAGTTGTAAAAAATAGTGCCAGTAAAGGTTACAGACAAAAATCAGACTTATTCTCATTGTTTTGATCAGTTGATGTGCCCATTCTTTCATTTCAACGACAGAGGCAAAAAGGGTAAATATTTTGAAGTCAGGTAAAGATTGGGCATCACTTTGTCCCCCAAGTGAGTCCAATTCTTGGACCTTCAAGTAATTTCATTTTCATAGTAGCTTTTTTTGGAGATGTATTAGTCCCTTTAATGGTATGTATCAGTCCTTTTCTAAAGTAATAACAAAACACTTGAAGCTGGACACTTTATATAAAGAAAAAAGGTTTATTTAACTTATGGTTCTAGAGGCTGAAAAATCTGACAATGTGAAGCCTTTGATGAAGATTCTCTTGGCTGGGTCACAAGGTGGCCAAGAAACAGAAAGGGGACCACCTTTGAACAGAAGAGGCCAAGGACAGAATGGCCTCACCACAACACATCTGCTCTCAGGACTGTTAACTTACTCCAAGAAAGTGGAAGTAATTCTTTCTCAGCGTGGTACCCTCATCACCTAACACCCTCTGCTAGGCCCCTCAAAGGCTTTATCACCTCTAACTCACCACACTGAGGACCAGGCACTTAGTATGGGTATGACAGACCACGTCTAAACCATAGCAAAGTGCTGGAGGAATCAAAGTGAGAGTATGGCCATAGTATGTCAGCATGTGTGTACCTGTGTAAGCCAGGAGGAAGCCCTCTTTTCACTCCCTCACAGTAGGTTTCTGTTTTCTCAGGGTAAACATCACCAGATTAAGTAATGTGGGGCAAGTGTGAAGAAACATCTGAAATTCACTGTTCCTGTTAGGATGAAAGTCGGGGATGACATGGGGCAAAGTGCTTCATTAACGACTACCAACACTTCTCTTCCTCCCCCTCCTCTTCTTATTTTTCTTTCCCTTTTTCTTTTTCTGAATCTGGCTTCACACTTGCTATGTAACTAAGCAACCAAGAATGGCCATGAACTCTTTTTTTCAATAAAAATATTTTTTATTAGATTTTTTAAATTTGATTTTATGTGAATGAATGTTTTGTCTCTCTGTGTGTATGTATACCATGTGTGGGCCTGCCAAAGTCAGAAGAGGGCATTAGATACTCTGGAACTGGCGTTACAGATGGTTGTGAGCCACCATGTGGGTGCTGGGAATTGAACCCAAGTTTTCTGCAAGAGCAACGAATTGCTTTTAAGTGCCAACCCTATCCAGATTATTGTTCTATTTGAAGAGTATCTTCAAGATGGAAAAGGAAGTTAACTGAAGGCAACAGCTCCCTGCCCCTTCCTAAATAGTAGATTAAGGAACAAAAAGCAGTGTTGGTAAATTCTAGTAGGTTTAGTTTTATTATCCCAGGACTGGAAATGGGATCTAGAAACCAGGGACATTAGCAAATTGTTCAAAGCGAAACTTTTTAGTGTGCTGTCTTTACTGCCTCCTGGAATGACTGCAGTTTGCTCAGATTTAAGCAGATCATGTTTGCTATGCTGGGCCTTTTTTAGGAGCTAAAGACAGAACTGAGGGCTTGGGCAAGATGGTCACAATTCGTGTACTCATAAAGTTTCAAGAAATCAACAACTAAGCAACTATGTGCTATGAGAAGGGAACTAATGAGTGCCGTGAGGATTGCATGGGAGGGCTTAACCTGACCCGTGGAATCAGAAGAATCTAGAGTCTGGACTCTTGGCAAAGCATCCGAAAAATCTGCCCTTGAGAACCACATAGTAGAGTTACTAGAAAGATCACATAACGTTTAAGTCCATTTTCAATTTTCTGCTGGTCCACATTCCTAGTTTTCTTGGGCTAATATGTAGCCCACAGGCTATAAGTTGGATATGTTTGTAATTCAAAGCCTTGTTCAAAGCCATACCTCTGGAATACCTTGACACATGTGTTCCTACATTTTTACTTTTCAAGAAAGAAATATCCCTGTTCTCCTTTTTTTTTTTTCTTTTTTTGTGAATTAGCCAACAACCAGTCTACAAGCATTATGTCCCAGATTACCTTGCCACATAAGGATATGGTGGCCTCTCTTCCTACCAGGATTCTACAGGATGAAAAAGGACTCTGGTCTTCAGTGAGAGTCAGAGGATCCAGGATATACTCTGGCTTCTCCACAGTCATAATTCCAGAGACAAACACTGGGTGTCTGTAAGCCGGGCTGATGGGCTTATCTTTGTTGATCTTCAGAACAAGCCCAGGGGATGAGAGTTAACACATTCCATTTATAAATGGGGCTAACATGGCTCAGTGACTCTTCCAAGACCACAAAAATAGCAGGGGTATACTCAGCAGTAGCTATTTTGATGGGTGCACATGGGCCCAAGTTGAACCCCAGTTTGAGAGAGAGGGAGGGGCAGAATCCTTCATCTTAGAGGCCTGTGTTTTGATTTTTCTTTCTTTTTTTTAAATTTACATTTTGAGTTTCAGTTCTCTAATACCTTACAGGAACAAAAACACCTTTAAATCCTAGGAATTTTGGGAAGTTGAAGAGTGAATGTAGATGTGAGAGAAACTTTTGACAGATTTAGACAGTGTGGCAGCGTGGTAGGTGGAGCCAAGGGCCAGAAGGCCTTTGAGAAAGCTTCCCATTTTTCAAGTTTCACTTCTGAAACATGAGAGAAAATACTTCACAAAATTCAGCAGTAACTTTGGAGTTCAGGCCCTACTGCACATCTCCCAGGAAGCCTGCCTGGAGCGGTGGATGGTGCTGGACCAGGAGACTGTCGGCCTTCTGTCTTTCTGTCTTGGGTGTCAGGATATACTTCAGAGCAGAATGAGACAACATCTCTTCCCTCTTGTCAGTGCCCTTTCTTCTTTTCACTTCTCCCTCTTGTCACATTCCCCAAAAAGGCCAAAATTTGAGTGGAAAGTAGGAATACGAAGCCATAAGATACAGCTACCACCCCAGGAGGGCAAGCCGGGAGGAAAATGCTATGGTGGAAACATCACCGCAGCCCCTGGCATCCATATATCCAAAGAGTCTGGAATGTTATGGTGGAAGTTCCACCCAAACCCCCTCCCCTCTCCCTGCTGCATCTCAGAAAGCCTGACAAATGATGACCCCCTCCCCCAGAGATACTCAAGACCACTCCCACAGGATATTTAAATTGGCCCCCAAAAAATAGACTCATGGTTTTCTGCTCTCTTTCCCTTCTACTCTCTGGAGAACTGGAAGGCCATCCGGGAGTGTTGTAGCCATTAAATATGGGCTTTTTCTAATTCAGTTTGATTTGGTCTGATTTGGATTGCTGCATGGGTGAAGAGGCTTATCTGGGTGTAGAAACTTTTCAGAAAACACAGGGGACCGTCCTGGCAAAGCTCCACAGCCTGTCAGGCCAGCCCTTGAGAATGCCGCAAATGCACCAGCACACTGGACCTTCCTCTTCTTGGGAATCAAGAACAGATCATCTCAGAACTGGGAGGGCTCTTCAGGGGGAAAAATTCGTCTGATTCTATTCTGCTTGCCAGATGGGGAGACTAGTTTCCAGAGACTCTGGGTGATGTGGGAGGCCAGGACCAAGGCACTAAGGGCAAGACTTCTGTACCTCTTGCTACAATTGTAGTCTCAAAAATCTCAGTCTTCCTGGGGAGCTCAGGGGGAGGTGCAAAGTGGGAGGTGCAGAGAACAGAGTGCTAAAGCTTGGAGCTTCCTCACTGCCATTGAGGCCTCAACCGTAGATAGATAGCATCATTTACATATTTGTTTTGTTTGTAAGTGGGAAACACTGCTCCCATAAGGAAAAAACAAACAAACAAACAACCCAAAAAACAAAACAACAACAGCAAAAACCTAACCAACCAACCAACCAACCAACCAGACAAATGAGTGACCCTTTAGTTAGCTTCTTTTCTAATGTCCCTGACAATTACATTGTAAGTCAATACCATGGGGTACACACACAACAGAACTCACACTTTCCCATGGTCACACTTCTTGCCTGATACATCCATCCTCTGAGTTTGCATCAAAGCCTGTTACCACTCTGCCTCTTGTTTGTTTCCCATCCCCTTCTCCATGTTTCTTCTGCTTCTTTGCAGTGGTACCGTATACCCCGCACTCATCTTTGTTTTCCTTAAAACCATTGTATGACTTGGTCATTACAAAATAATCAGAGGAACACACTGCTGCCCCTGTTATCCTGATGAGAACATCAAGGCTTCAAAAGCAAACCTTGTGGCTCCATCAAATTGATCAGAGTGGCATCCCTTTGATATAGCCAAGCCCCCAAAATAGTGCTACCTGCTTGTTGAGGGAGGGTCGTTCCAGTCCCTATCTTGGGCTCCTGTACCTGGAGAAGGAAGAAACCCCATCTGGCTCTTGCTGTGGGAGGCTCAGTTCAAATGCATTTGAACACCTTTGCAGTGTCAGGTGTCATGGTGGTTAGCATCTAGTGTGCTGGAGACAGTGCCAGCTGTGGAAACTCAGTCTCTGCTTTACCCTGTAATTGCTGTGTGATGTTGCCTATGAAACTCGACTTTTCTCAGCTTAAATTTATCTTTAAATCCCTGTCTTACAGATTTGTAAGGAGATGGTACAAAAAGTACAGATATGATAGCTATGAAAGTTTTTCAGAGAGAGAGAGAGAGAGAGACCCATGTGTCAGAGAACACTGAGTATAGTAAAATTAGAAACTTAAATGACAATTATTACTTAATTAATTTGCTTTTGCTATTTCACTTTAAAAAATCACAGTAATTCTGCAAGTTAGTTTATTATGCATAGGAAAGCAAAGCTCAAAGTACCAAGATGCTGGCTCACATCAATCCAGTGCAGAGTTAAACCAGTATCCAGGGTCTGTACTGCTTCCACTACTCTGCCTTTTGGACATTCTAGGACAATCTCCGACTTGTCTCAGCCATGGGAGATGTAACACCAGACTGCCCCCAGCTTGTTGGAGTAGAGTAGCAGGGACCCAGGTTACATGCCCAACATGCTACATACTACACACCCCTCCCAGGTGAGCACCTGGGCTTTTTTGAAACTCTGACATGCCTTCCCCCATCTCCTCTTTAAATTCTAATTCTGATCACCATTTCCGTTCAGGTAGTAATTTTAGAAACAAGAGTGTTTTAGAGCAACCTACTTAGGGCCAGGTGTTTCCTAGCAATTCAAGCTTTGATGAATTCAAGGAGGAGTGACAGTCTGTAGATTTGAGTCACTTAGTATGGTAGTAAGGTTTGGTATGAGGAGGAAAAGACTGAAAATGCTATGTGGTTTGGTTATTTCAGGTATGTTTATTGTGTACAGATATGACAGCTATGAAAGCCCCAGAGAGAGAGAGAGAGAGAGAGAGAGAGCCAGCCCTCATGGTGGTACCCCATGTGTCAGAGAACTCGGAATATAGTAGAATCTTTCATTACCATCATACCAATGGCAGGGTCATAAAGTCCCCCAGTCCTTCACATGAGTGAACACAGAGTACCTGTAGTTAATTAATTTTTTTTAAGCAGAGGCAGGTTGGATTGCTTTGGTTAAGAGAAAATAAATTCAAATAGTTGATTTTGTTGATCTCATTTTTATGCACCATCATTAAATCTATTTAGAAACATACTCATTAAAATGTTTATGAATAAACACATAGCTGTATAACTTTACATCTAAAGTTGTTTTTAAAGGATGGGAGGCTAAAAGAGCGAGACCCTGAAGCCCAGGGTAGCAATGACATTCTCCATTTAAGTCATGACCAATCTGATCAGAACCCAGGTCTGTAAATCCCAGTCCCAGTTTGTTCAATCTCTCCTTCCCAGGTAGAAGGGACTTAGTTCCAAGAGCTGTTTCTTTTCTTCTCCACCACATCAGTGGTTAATTAAAAAGCAATGCTAAATGATTGGAGACCCCAGAGTTAACTGGGGAGTCTGGGATTATGTCTCAGGACGAGGAAGTCAGGAGAATGGGACAAGATAGGGCTAGACTCACCTGAGAGCTGACAGAGGACAGAGGTAAAGATGATGAATGTGGAGAAACCAGCCATATCCTTTTCAAGTTGTCAGTAAGTCAAAGAAAGAAAACTCACTAACACATCTGACTTTTCTAGCCTCAGCTGGTATTTAAACTAGGTAGGAGGAGTCATGTTAGAATGTGTCATCTGTCACAGCAATAATATTTCCAAAGGGAAGGAAACAATGATTGACAAGGTTCTTATTTTCTATTACAGGTAAGGAATCACTCTTTGTGGGAATTTTTAAATAGAAAGGTTTGCCTTTTTTATTTTACCTGGTACTACTTTTTGAGATTTTTTTTTCTTTCCTTTTATCTATTCTTTGTGTCTTTCACATCATACATCTCCATTGCAACCATTTCCCCATCTCTTTATATCCATCCTCTGCTCTTGCACACATCCCCAAAAAAAATAAAATTTAAGAGAAAAAAGAGAGAAAAATGAAAAAGAAAGGGAGGGAAAAAAAATCAGTCTCGTCATGGAAGCTGCAGTGTGACACAGTGAGTCACATAGCAAACCCCTTTTCCATGCATCCTTACTTGCAAGTGTTCGTTGCAAAGAGTCACTGGTCTGGTTCAAGACCTCTGGTTTCTGTTTCCCTAATGCTGGTCCCTCTTCACTGGAACGCCTCTTCGTTATCCTGCTGTTGCCCTGTGTTGTGGAAATCCGGTCCCTTCACGCGCTCCACCAGCTCACATAAGTTACCCGTTTCTTCTAAGAGGTTCAGAAACAGGAAATAGGTTAGATGGGGGCTGGGAGGGCAGCAGAGAAAGAATAGCATTTAATAAGTTTTTCTAAATGCCACTCGCTGTGCTGAGAGTGCGTGTTGCCTTATTTATTCTTCCCATAAACCTATGAATGAAATTCTACTACGCAGCCTGTTTTATAGTCGAGAAATTGTAGCTTATGACTTATGACAACAACATCAAAGACTTCTTTTGGAGCTGGAGAGATGGCTTAGTGGTTAACAGCACATGCTACTGTTCCAGAGGACTGGAGTTCTGATCCCAGCACCCACATAGAGGGATTCAGGGGATCGGGCACTTCCTGTGGCCTCAGAGAGCAGCACTTGCACATATGATATACTCACATACAGAGACATACACATATGCATAAATAACAGTAAAAATAGAGGTGTTTTAACCAAAAGAAAGTACTATGAGAATAAAAGGACACGTTATAAGAGTGGGAGGAGATATTTGCAATGTTCATAATCATGAGGGATAATATATATATATATGTGTATATATATACGCATATATATATATATATATGAATATATATATCATCTATATCAGAGGCAGGGGGATCTCTGTGAGTTTTAGGCCAGCCTGAGCTACACAGTGAGTTCCAGGCCAACCAGGGCTACATAGTTAAGACACTGTCTCAAAAAATGTTTTGAACAGTAACTCAATCAAGAAACTCAAATATGTTATTAAAAGTGTGTCCAAAGGGTTGATGAAGAGAAAATACAAGGGAGATAATGCCAATATAAGTGCTTAAAAGTTCAATAGTGGCATTACTAAGAATAAATTATATAAAAAAACTAACATTATTTTAAATAAAAGGAAAAATGGTTAAAAAGAAAGAACAATCAAGAAATGAGCAGCAGACTAAACCCAACTACATTAATACTTATATTAAGCATAAATAGACAAAAAATTAATGGGGAGAAAACAGGAAGACAGGCAGGATGGAGGAATGGGTGGAGGCTTCATAGTAAATGTCCTTTAAAGATGGGTAGGTAAGAGTGATGCTGCATATAATTCTGAATGCATAGAAAGTCCAGCTCTCCAGATGGCAGCAGAAAATCCAAGAGTAGAACTGTGAAGGGAAGAGCAAGGGGGAAGCCTGAAATGAATGATGTAAGCACAAATCCAGGCATGTCTTACCTGGGATGTGAACTGTGCTCTCAGCTTCTCAGTGACCAGACCATGGCACTGTGACACACACCATTGGGTTTCAGACTCCTACTTTTGTGGACACTCCACCTCTTTCTTATCATTCAGCAACCTTCATAAATCCCTGCCTCCTCTGCCTTCCCCAGAGCACTGAGTTATAGTGTCTTTGTTTTTTCAAATGCTTGCATTCTTGTATTGAGTCTGGATCATCCAAGTTAGGTTACCGGTTAAATTATTTTTTAAAATAGGACTTTTCTTTTAACAGAAATATTCAAAGTGTTCAAGAGTGACTAGTTTGTAATAGGGTTGGGGTGAGATTTTTTTCTTTTCTCCTTGGTTGGTGTTTGGGGCATCAGGCTAGGCCCTAGTACTCCCCTGAAAGTAGACACTTGTAAGGAGTAAGGTTTATTTGTCCGCCGTTGGTCTTTCCCCGCCATTGCTGCGCCAGCCCCAAATAATACATAGAGACTCTGTATTTGATATAATGCTGTTGGCCAGGTACTAGTTTCTTGTCGGCTAGCTCTGTCTTAATTATTAACCAATTTCTATGTATTTCCACTTGGTCTTACCAGGGAGAGGCGGCTGGCAGTTCTGCTTTCTCCAGACTCTCCATCTTGACTCCTTCTTACTCCTTCCTCTTCCCTCCTTGTCTCCTAGTCCCTCTTATCTTGCTTTCCTATTGGCCAACAGTGCTTTATTCATTAACCAGTATGAGAAATATATATACATAATGGCATCTCCCATCAGACACTATCTGAAAAAAAAAATGACTGCTATCAAAGTGAAAACCCACCAAGAGCATATAGTTATAGCCAGGTAACAAATGATCACCCATTAGTATCCACTCATTGTAAGATAGTAAATGAATATTAATAGAACAGAATCATTAAGGTATTAGGTCCTGTGGATATGAGTAGAAGGGAAAAAGAAAAAGTAGAAATGATTTGTATTGGGTTGAGAAAAAAGGAGAGGAGGGAAAAACTAAATAGAATGAGGAAAGCACATGGCTACAGGGGTCATGATGGGAAATGAGGCAGTTTTGGCTAAAGATAGAGTGAAAACAGAAAGGTAAAAAAATGCAATCCAATAACTAAGAAGAGTTTCAGGTCTTAGGAGTCTGGACCTCAGAGACCCTGAAAAGTAGGCCAGCCTGTGCTCTTTGGGAAAGCCCATGAAAATGAAAATTAAAAATTAAAGAACAGAGAAAGGAGAGTGGTGTAAGAGCCAGAGGAGAAGTAACAGTGAGTACAAGAGAAGAGCTCAGAGCAGGGCAGATCTGGCCTCCAGCACAGATGCTAGTGAAAGAGAAATTCATGTGAAGGGAAGCGTGGCTTGGGTATATGTGTTCATGTGAATGGGGTCCTACCCTCCCAGTCTCAACTTTCTTGGTGTTCCTTCCTGGGGTCCCAAACACCTGTTACACCTCTGAATTGGAATCCTTTAAGACCCCCCCCAACACACACACACAATCTATGGTGTTCTACCCACCAGGTTTTTGCATACAGTTAGGGAATGCTTGCTTCTGTTTCCTGAAAATTATAACCAGTCTAGGACTCCCAAGCTGCTGACTTTTGAAAATGGTGTTCCACCATTGCTCTCATGGAGAGCTTTCTCTCCTATGTATGCCACTATACAGCACACCTTTTCTCTCCCTTCTGTGTTTCTTTTTAATATCTCTAGTATATACAAGTGAAATGAAAGTAGATGTTGGGAGGCTGGGGTTGGAATGGTCTAGGTGGGGATGGGTGGGGTGAGTGGAAGGGAATGTCAGATGGGGGAAAACCAAATTAAAGATTGGAAACTTACCATTTCATAAGCTTATTTAAAGTTTAATAATTGGAATTTGAACCCAGGTACCTTGTATGAGTGGACAGTACTCCCATCCGAAGCCATAGGTTATTAAATGGAAATCCCAATGTCAGGTGTAAGACACCTCCTTACAAATGGTTGGTCAGGGAGGTCAGGGAGTCCAGGCTATCACCACTGCTCTTGGTTGCCCACCAGAATTTGATGGTAAGACCCTACTACTAAAGACATCATACACGAACTTTGGATACAGAACAGAGATGCCAAGCTGGGAAGATTCCTTTCTGCTGGCTAGCTTTCACAGTTCTAGAAGGTGCATGCTATTTCAGGCTACTGGTGGAGAAAAGGCTCTAACAGTCTTACTTAACTTTGAAACTTGCAAACTTTAATACTGATCTATCTGACAAGATACCCATTGGTACAACAGTAGCACAACTATGATGTGAATATCCAGGTACATTCTGATTGGATGTGGGGCCTGTTTCATGGGAAGGAGCCCCTGCTTGATACTGTAAATTTAGTCAAGAACCTGTGAACTGGGCCAAGTCATAGGCCTTCAAAGGGGGAACCTATCACCATTATTATGCTAAATGGGCATACTGTTGAACTGCCTTCTGAGCACTCACATTTATACCTTGGTCAGAGATGCTTCTTGTAGCTGTGGGCACTGGTTAGTGCAGAAACTCATAACTGTTAAAAAAAAAAAAAACAGATGATGGTGGAGAGTCTAAACTTTAAACAAGATATCCGTACTACCACTCTGCCCCCCAACCCCACCCAGGGCTCAGGAAGCATCGTGGAAGAAGGGTGGAAAGAATGTAAGAACTGGAAGACAAGGAGGTTCGCTGTGAAATGTTGTCTTCTGATCACCATACTGCCCTCAAGCTCATGCCTGCAGCTGTGGTTACCTGCACAGGCTCTGCCAACCTGGGCCTTCAACACCTCATCTTGAGTAGGGGTGATGCTCATAGAGCCCCACCCTCCCCAAGGGACTATTGTTGGTTAGTGGTTGCTGGGGGAAGGAGTATCATTTTCTTCAGTGGTGTAACCACTGACAAATAGCCGGTGCTCAAACAACTCCACCAGTGCTCATGCGGGTAACCCTGATTAAATTCAGCAAATCACATATGCCAAGAAACATGAAAGTAAGAGCGTGACTTCTCAGGAAGAATAGTTTCAATAAGACGAGGGTGGACAAGAGGGTGACAGGTGTGAAAAATGACTAAAATTCACCATATTTGTGATGAAACTGCCAACGAATAATTTAAAAAGGGGGGGTGTGAAAAACAACAAAAATGCCCATTACTGAGAGTATAGCTCAGGTTTTCTGAGGCTCTCCCTTGGGTGAGGCTTGA